CATTCTCTTAATGAATAGAATGATTTGTTCTAATGGTGTTTGTAAATAGGATCACAAGTCCGCATCTTGTACAGCAATTAACCACTAAGAAGAATATATACAGTGTATTATTTGTTGAAACTGTACTACCGATTTGATTTGAAACTATCTCATTGCTATCTGTTTATCAATAAAACTTTGAGAAAAAAATCGGTTAGCACTCACAAAAAAAAAAGGTTATTGATACCTATTTAGAATATCAATCCCTGATGCTCATCCCTAGGGAAGTATGTAGCTGTGTTTCCTCTTGTCTTGGTCTTGAGGTGTGGCTCATATGGGAGTGTTTGTCTCTTCCAAGTAGCAAAGTCACCTTGTCTTCCATGTTGTCTCCTTGAGGGCCTGGCCCTGTCTGACTGCCTGTAATATTTCTATCTAATTCAGTTTCCTACAACATTCCCCTCTCTGAAGAAGTAACCCAAACTGCTATGAGGGAACCATGGATGATGAGCACTCTGGCTTCTTCAGGCTGAAAGGGGTAGTCATTTACTTAAACACTTATTAAATACTTGACCTATGCCAAGCCCTTTGCAGGCAGAGACAAAAATAAGACATTCTCTTCTAAAAAACATTTGTATCTTGCTTTATAGCTCATTTTTATACTTTTCTTCTGGATGCTTAAGACCAAGATAAAACAAGCCCAATACAACAAGAAATATAATTTTTCTATCTGACAAGGTCAGTTAAATGTGCTCAAGATTTACCCTGAAACCCTGTACCGCAATTTGTAGATCTTTTGTCAGTGTCAGCCATGTGGACAAGTCTCGGCCATTGCTTGACCAATTTGCTTTCTGTGAAAGCCTGAGAGAATGTTTTCTCGCCATATGACTCTCCTTAGGCACACTCTACATCGTCAGTCACTTTCCTCTGTGACCCCATAATCTTCTTGATCAGAAAATTTGGGTCACCACTGAGTTACAGGATGTTACAGTATAGGTTCACTTAAGACCTGAGTACTCACTGACCTTGAATGGCTAGGGCCAAAATGTTGGCTGTCCTTGTGTGCTGTGAAATCTTGTAACTCAGTGGTATCTCAAATTTCCTGATCAAGAAGATTATGGAGCCACAGAGGAAAGTGATCAATGATGTAGAGTGTGCCTAAGGAGAGTCACCTAGAGGAAAAAATTCTCTCAGGCTTTCACAGAGAGTGAGTTAGTTAAGCAGTAGCAGTGACTCATCCACATGGTTGACAATGACAAAAGATCTAGGAGTTTCTGTGCATGGTTTCAGGGTAAATTTGCATGGGATTTGACTGACCTTGTCAGATACAAAAGGGATTGGGATTTTGATTAACCCAATTTTCACACTGATCAGAATTACTTGGAAAGAGACTGAAAAGAATAAATGCCCTAAAGTGTTGGAATAAGGGAAGGAGTTTCTTTACCTTTCACAGTATCTTCTGTACCTTTCAGATTCTTACACTAGGGAGACAGTACAATGCTTACACATGCTCATGTGATTCATTTCTTTTGGGAGGGTAACCAGGGATTGAATTTATGACCTTGTGCTTGCTAGGCAGGCACTTAAGCCACTGAGCTATCTACCCAGCCCCCTGATTCATTTAATTTAAGACTATCATCTCTAGTTGTACTCATTTACCTAGTGAAAGAAAGAAAGAAGAAAGAAAGAAAGAAAGAAAGAAAGAAAGAAAGAAAGAAAGAAAGAAAGAAAGAAAGAAAGAAAGAAAGACACAGGGTAGCCTGGTTAATTGTACTTCTGTTCTACTGATTGATTGAAAGAAACAGTTAATGCTTAAGGTTTTTTTTCTGTCTCTTTTTTATGTTTTTATAATTTTTTTATTAATTTATTTATGTGGTGGGGGGCAGCTCAGCCCACCAGGGGGCAGGACTGGCTGGCATGTGGTGCTGGGGATTGAACTGCAGTCCCTGTGCTTTGCTAAGCTTGTTCTAAGTAGGTGCTTTAGACCACTGAGCCATCTCACCAGCCCCTGTTTTTATAATTTTTTAACCAATTTTTCATGCTGAATCTGGTAATCTGAAAAACTAATTTGAAGAAAACAACATGCAATATAAGAACCACTGTGGAATCACTATTATTTTGTTAGTGAAACTCTGCATCATTTTTTATGTTTTTGCATTCTCTTTAAAAAAGAAAAGAAAAGTGCCTGCAAGCAGGCCCAGGAGCTGGGGGCTCAATCCCCAGGCCTGCCATTCCAGTGCCACGCCCCCCCAGGGTCCACTCAGACAGCAATTGAGACTGGATGTGGTGGTGCGTGCCTGTAATCCCAGGTCTTGAGAGGCTGTAAACAGGAGTCTGATCTAGTAATGAGACCTTGAACACCCTGTACACCCTTCCCTAAAAATTACAGAAAAAAAGAAAAGAATCTTAAAAAAATTAAAAATGGAATAGAGAAAGGAAAGCTGGCTATGATGAAGTCCTTCTAAGTTACTTTAACATAAGAAACAAACTCTGGGTATATGAAATATGATGCAGAAATAAAAAATAAGCAAAGGGAATCAGATATAAAGCTCAAACTGAGAGGTTTCTTATATCTGAATGGGGTAATCTACATTAACTGAAAAAGTATCCATTGCAGATTCATTCATGAAAGGAGATACAGTAATGAAAGGAGAAATTGCTAGGAGGGGAATGACTGTGGGGAAGTAAAGAAAAAAATTTACTGTCATGTTCTCTAGCTTTGTACTTGTACATGTTTATCTAATGTAATGCTTTGAAAACGACTTCTTTTTGGTGATAACTGACACAACAGAATTTATTAGGAAAAGTTATTTTCCAAGTTACTTTCAGCATATAAAAATTGCCCAAGCCCACATGAAAATGAATAATAAGTTAAATTTTTTCATAAATTGCTATTGTTTCTAATATTAAGAACTATATAGCACCATAAAGCAATATCAGACCTAAGACCAAAATCTATGGTTCAGCTATTTTTATCCAAAGGACAGCTGGTTATATGAACAAATAATTTATTCTGAGGTTTCATAACAACACAGAAGGAAAGATTCATTAAATTTCTTTGTATATATTTTATCTCTTGTCATAGTAAGCTTGAAAATTTCATTTTCCTTATTCGCCTTTTGGGGCTCATCATTAGTGATGATTCCTCTTGAAGACTTTCTCCTGTAAAATTGTTCACATCTACTACTTCTTTTCATTCACAACATTAATTATATTACATAATTATCAGGTTCTGTATTTGTCTCTTTTTATTTTTTCCATAATTTTATTGATAAACAAATAGCAATGAGACAGTTTCAAATCAAATTGGTAGGACAGTTTCAATAATTAACACATTGCATACATTCCTCCCAGTGGTTAATTGCTGTACAAGATGCAGACATGATATCCTATCTACAAACACCATTAGAACAAATCACTCTATTCATTAAGAGAATGTAACTATATATCTATCCTAACCACTTTGAATACACAGATACAAAATGGGCATTCATCTGTATACCCTTTTTTTGTTAAGTTCCATTATTTGACTATTATAGGTGTGTTAACTCAGCAAAATAATCTAAAAGAGTTCAGTAGTCCATAATAGTATTGGGTCTTCTGCTTGACTGGCAATGTCAGAAATTGTTGACGTGAGTCCCCTACAGCTCAACATAATATATGGCTTTACTTCTTATATTTCATTTTTATACTTTTCTGCTGGGTGGTTCAGACCAAGATAAAGCAGGACCTATGCAACAAGAGTTGTAACTTTTGGGTTTGATAATTTCAGTGAAATCCCCTCAGGATTTATCCTGAGATCCTGTACCTCAGATTGTTTGTCAGTGTCAGCCAGCATAGCACATGCTGTGTTTAGGAATAAGCACATAAATCAAAATAGTTAACTAAGTATGTATTCTAGAGTAGTTTACTAATGAAGCAAATTTCGAGCTATGCTTTATGAAGTGAGATATTTCTTAGTAAAGATACAATTTGTTATTTTTGGTTGAAGATAGCTTTCTCCTACAGACTAGGAAGATCTACTAAGAAAAAAAGGCATAGAGAGGTGCAGAGAGGTTTAGTGAAGTTATAATATGCATATTCAAGAAGAGAAATAGCATGGATGAGAACAAATGTAATTGAAAATTATGTTCAGTATTTTCATAATATTCTAAAAATATATTATTTATATTAAACTTTTGCCTAATTGTCTTTAAAAGAAGGAAGTCTTTGGAGAACATGCTTGAGAGCTTCCTTTACTTGCTGGTTCCTTATGGTGTAAATAAACGGGTTGAGCAAAGGGGCCACAGAAGTATTGAGCACAGCTACTCCTTTAGTTAAAGCCACCCTTTCCTTTGCTGATGGCTTCAAATACATAAACATACAGCTGCCATAAGTGATAGAGACAACAACCATGTGTGAGGAACAAGTGGAAAAGGCCTTTCTTCTTTGTTGAACAGATGGGAATTTTAGAATGGTTTTGAGGATAAACGTGTAGGACAGGACCACTAACAACAATGTGATAACAAGTGTCATCACAGCCAAAATAAAAGCCATTAATTCTATGAAACGTGTATCTGTGCATGAAAGCTGCAGGATTGGAGAAGTGTCACATAGGAAATGATCAATCACTTTGGAAGCACAGAAATCCAGCTTGAGTCCTAACAACAAAGGGGAAAAGATGATCAAGAATCCCATTGCCCAGGAGCTGAGCACGAGTTGGTAGCAGACTCTGATGTTCATAATGTTGGGATAATGCAGTGGTTTGCAGATGGCCACATAGCGGTCATAGGACATGGCAGCCAGGAGGAAAAACTCTGTAATTCCTAAGAGAAAGAAAAAGAATAATTGACTTACACAAGCATTGTAGGAAATTTTTCTATCTCCAGTGAGAATGCTCATCAAGAACCGTGGAATGCAGGCCGTTGTGAAGGAGATTTCTAAGAAGGAGAAATTTCGGAGAAAGAAATACATTGGTGTCTTGAGGCGGGGATCCAGCAGGGTGAGAACAATGATGATTAAGTTTACCATCAGGCTCAGGACGTAATTGAAAAATAGAAACAAGAAAATCACAATTTGTTGCAGAGGATCATCTGTCAGTCCGAGCAAAATGAACTCTATCTCCCCTGACTGGTTCTTCATTTTCATTTTGTCCTGTCATATTTACAGAAAATAAAACTAATATCAAAATTGAGAATTTTTCTTTTCATACAGACATTTAATATTTAGAAACTTAACAATGTAAAAATATTATCTCAAATCAATTTAAAGTTCATCAAAATGAATGTATTTTTCAACAGTCCTGTTTGTAAGAATGCTAAGAATTTTATTCTTGTTAATTACTTGTATTACATTTCTGTTGCTTCAACCTCTACTGTCACATCCATTTTTCCATACTGTACCACAACACCAAATAACGAAGAATTTTCTGATGAAATCCATAGGTTGTGACTGTAGTTATCCTCTGAATTTTTGGTTTTCAAAATGGGCTAAGTAAAGTTAGCAGTGCGATACAGGGATACAGAAACAAAGAGAGATATAGATATGGGTGGAGAACTTGTATAGGCAGGAGAAGCAAAGACAAAGCTGTATGGACTCCAAGAGTGCTTAGTAGGACATGTAGACATGGGAAAATGAGCTTGATGGAAAAGCTAAAATAAGCTTAAATACACATAAATCATTACATAAATATATAAGGGGGAAATAGTAATAGAATGTCTTTACCTATGCTTCTACTTCTATTTGTTACTTTTTGGTTTGTTTTATGTAGGTATTGAAAATACATTTTTAATTTGGTAGCTAAAAATGAGTATTTGGTATATGTAAAAAGTATGAGAAATCAGAGAATAGCATTGATCACATTTTAGGTGATACATTTTCCCTAACCCAATAATATTCAAATTTCCAGCTATCATGCTATTAAAGAGATGCTAACAAATAGATAATTCTTCTTTATATTCAACACACATTTAGACAACAAAACTTAAAAATAACATTACTTAAATTAAAAAAGCAAATACACTGCAAATCTAGTATTAAAATCAATGATGTACATATAGAAACTTTTAAAGGTAAATGTATTCCAATTTTCCCTTTTCTGTGAGAACAGGTACTCATAAATACTATGTTTTATAATGATTTGGCCTCATTACTCTGTTCAAAATTATATAACAATTAAAAAGTAACTAGTTAAAAGTAACAATTAAGCAATTGTTTATGGTCCTCAGTTCAGTAGCTTGATTTGTGAACTGAATGCAGTTAATCCAGTCTGACTAGCTCTTCAAGCCATAATCTGTGTACAACTGTCTTCTCACTCCATGATGAAATACTGAGGATGGTATCTGCGGGCGTTTGGCTAGAGGTATGAAGGAACAGACAGGTGTTGGAACAACTTTGGTTCATCTATGAAAGCCTGACAGAGCCACCTGGCAAGGGATGTCATACTCAACAGTCAGTTAAGTCTAAGCCTCTTGAAGCATCTTGAGACATCTGCATGGGTAGTTTTCTTCTGGAGGAAAACTTGTGGGACAGTTCTTAAAACAAGTCATAAGTACTCTTTATGCCTTGTGAGATCTATGGTATTGTTCTCTTAGGTAATAGGTTTTTCTCTATTCCCACTATAATTATGTTTGGAGTGTCCATTCCAGTGGCCATATTTTCATGTTTTGTTTGTGATTTTCCTATCATGCCCTTCTTATATCCATGGTAATTTAAGTGAGAGACAAAGACTTTTTATAAACATTAAGCAAAAATAAATTTAAATAACATACACCTCTTCATTCCTTTTTGGTTATGATAACAAAATAACTGAAACTGGATGACCAATAAAGGAGGAAGGTTTATTTTGGCTGCTTCTAGAGGCAGGGGCATCCAAGACCAGATGGCCAGGTAACTGTAACAATTAGGGACTTATGCAACTTCAACTTATGACAGAAAGTAGAAGATCATGTGGGCTTATGTAGAAGAGGAGGAAGGTGGAAGGGGCTGTAGAGATAGCTCATTAGCGTAAGTACCTTCTTGGCAAGTGCAAGGACCTCAGATCTATCCCCAGTAGAACACAAAGTAAGAGAGGAGAGAGAGAGAGAGAGAGAGAGAGAGAGAGAGAGAGAGAGAGAGAGAGAGAGAGAGAGAGAGTCAAACTGCTATAAGAACTAATCATTCATTTTATGCAAAGGCAGTGTTTCTTCAGAACAGCCTTACCCCTGTGCTCCAGATGCTTCACAAAATACCAGAGATTTTGGGGAGACACTGAAGCAAAAGAGGCTGCATATGTGCAGGTTATGGGCCAGAAGTTCTCAAAAGTAGACTGACTTTGCTTTGCCATTAGAGGAAAAAGGTACATATTTCCAGGAATGATCAAAATAGAATCTTAAACTTTCAAAATAGGTTCATGTAATACCTTACCTACTTGTTTTTGATCATTATCCACAAAGAGCATTGGACATATTCCTTTCTGTAGAGAGCTGTGTTCTTTTATCATTCTGCTTTCCATGCAAAATGAAAAGGAAGAATTGTATGGTCAGGAAGAAATTAGCAAGGTAGAAGTTCTCAGTCCTCTGCTAAACAGTTTGTATAACAAAAGCTGTCAAATGCAGATGCTTTACAGAACTGAACAGAAGATACCAACTAGTTACAAGGATCATAATTTCATAATTTCCTCTATCCAAGACTTAGAAATCACTGTCATGTTTATTTTCTCTATAAATTTATCTCATTAATATATAAGTAAAATCATGTAGTATATGATCTTTTAACTGTTTTATTTACCAATATACATTTAACATTTATTATATCTCTGCACAATTTTTTCTCTTATTGTTCAATAGTACACATTCTATAAATATACCACATATATTGAGCCCTTCACCTATGGAAGAACATCTGCATTGCCTTCTTCTTTTGTAATTATGAATAAAGCCACTTACTGTTTACATATAAGAGTTTGTTATGTGAACTTGATTTTTCAAATAATTGGTAAGTAAATAGGACTGTGATTTGGGCATTATGTAGAAAGGCTTGGTTTAGCTCTGTAAAAGATTGCTAAATTAGCCTCAAGGGACTCTATCATTTTGTATTTTTACCAGTAATAAATGAGCATTTGAAACAGTAGACTTAGGGCCAGGGAAATGGCTTGGTAGAATAAGCACTTGCCTAGCAAGCACAAGGGTCTGAGTTGAAATAGTAGACTTTTAAATTTTTCTTCAAAGCTATAATAAATTTGACCAATATATTTTATGCTCAGTTTTAAGTAAATATTTAGGATTCTTAAGTCTTCTTGGGGAATCAATCCTTCATCATAATGAATGCCCATTTTATGCCTGATATTTGGTCTGTTCTCAAATTTGCTAGTGTGGAATAAATTAGATATTTTACTTTTATTTTGGTTCATTTCATTATCCCTGTACTTTTGACCTATTTGTCTTATTATATATAACAGCTACCTCTAAACAAAAAGGTACTTTTATAAAGAATGGATATTTTAATAACACTAATATGATCATTAAACATTATATGTACATAGAAATATCATAATGTATTTCATAAATATGTAAAATTAAGTAACTTAAAGTATATTTTAATATTATTTTCAAAAATAAAAATAATGAGCATTTAATATCAACAATGTATTATTCATTATTACTTTTATAATAATTTATAATAATTATTTTTAATTTTATTTATTTAGTGTAGGGTCTACAGCGTCTCACTGCACAGATCAGACTCCTAGTGAGCCTCCTGTTTTCAGCCTCACAAGAGCTGGGATTACAGGTGTACACCACCATGCCCAGTCTCAATTGCTGTCTCAGCGCACTCTGGGGTTGGGAGCAGCATGGCTTGTGGTGCCAGAGATCGAATTCTGGTCTCTGCACTCTGCCTAAGCAGGAGCTTTCATCTGCTGAGCTATCTGGATGACCCAATAATAATTTTCTAAAAGACCTTTCCAATTATTTCTGTGTTTAATGTGTATTTAGCCCTTTCATATTTGTCATGATGTACAATATTATGTTCTTGGATTAATATCTGCCATGTTTATAAAAGTATTCTACTAATTAGAATTTGTAAAGAAGATTCATGAGTTAGAGCTCCAAAGACAAGTCTTCTTGTAGAGAAGCAAAGAATTTCACCATAACAACCACAAGTAACAGGAATCCTTTTTTTTTTTTTTTTTTTTTGCCAGCTCAGCCTGCCCTGAGTGTGGGGCTGGCTCAGCATGTGGTTCTGGGGATGTAAGCACAGTCAGTTGCGCATGCCTAAGCTTGTCTAAGCAGACATTTTAGACCACTGAGCTATCTCACTGACCCTATGCTCGTTGCATTCTGAGATACTGTTTAGGTTCACTATATGCTGGCTCCCTACATCTATGAATCTGAAAAGAAAGAACATACTTACATGTAACAAGTTATGTGAAATGGACTTGTTACTTACAGATAGGCAACAGGAGAAAGGAACACCTTCCAATCCATTACAAGCCAATCTCCCAAAGTATCTTCTAAGGCTGGATCTTATCTATGTGTTTCCCATTTTTCACAATAACTGAGAGGCCCCAAAAGATATTCTGGACTTTGTCTTATACCTCAGCTACCACCTGACATACTGGGCAAGGCTTAAAAGATATGCTTCTTCAGGCAATAGAGGAACATAATCTTATCTTCCCTGGTACTTTCTTCTCTATCACAAGATATTGGTTTCCCCAGGAATAGAAAGCACAAGCCCAGAGGTAAAAGGCAGATCCTCTTCATCTCAAGATATTGCATTTCCACATTGAAAGTTCACAGTATTTATTCAGATGTACAAGTGAGAAAGGTATAAAAGGAAAAGGGATTAATTCATGGTTAATTAGAGTATTGTCCCTCTAATATTCTTGGACTCTTCTTTTTCTACCTTCATTTGTTTCACTTTAATATTTTATTTAATCCAATTTTGACCCTTTTCTAACTGTACTTCTTTATTGTGGTAGTGTTTTTCCTAGATCTTATAATAATAGACAATTTAAGCTAATGAAAATCCATATTCAAATAACACTGCAAAGTCATCTGCAGTGTATGTTAACTTATAGCACAATAGTCCCAATTACTTTCTCCTATTATCTGTAACATACTGTCTTTTGCTTCTGCTGTTACAATACAATACCGCAGTATGACCCATTTATGCTGGAATGATTAAGTTCTTATTGCTGTATAAGTTAAGAAGTCCACTATCAAAATACTAATACTTGGTGGTGTCTTCTAGCTGAAGCCTAACATGAAGACAGGAGTCATAAAAATTTCAAGAGGGAAAGTCAGGATAGAAGCGTGTGAAATCCCATGTGCAAAAGACAACTCACTTTACAAGAAAGCTCCTGCTAACCTACTACCCCAACAATTTTATCAGTCCAGTCAGGAAGGAGTACTCTCATGGTCTAACAACTCCTTACATTTTCCACCTCTAAAGTGTCCAAAATATGAGTTGATTTTGAACATAAGTTGTGGAACAGATATTCAACCCACATTTACGTCATTCATTTCACAGAACTCTACAGTATATTGCCCAATCACTGGCACTATGATTTCTTTTAATATATGTTTCTTTTTTAAATAATTTGAAATAGAAAAGCAAGTAATTTTTTTTGTCTTTATTTGTGTCTTCTTCATTGTTATACCTTAATTTATGCAGATGCATGTTTTCACGTGTGTTACTTTTCTTCTTCCTGAGAAATATTTTATTAAAAACAAATTTCAGAGGCCTATGTACTGGAGATTCCTTAACTTTGTTCTTTTCATCAAGTACTTATGCAAATTAGTCTTGATTGTTAACCTCAGTAAATCAAGAGACTCATGGAGAGATGTCTTGATTTTAAGGGGCTAATCTCTTCAGTGAGCCAATCTATTAACGAGTTAATATCTAAATGGCCTATGAAAAGGGAAAGCCTTGATAAAGGAGATGTATCAACAGAGTATGAACTCAGAACCTATCTATGCCTGGTCTCTGGCTCCTTCTTGAAATCTTTTTCTGTCACTATTATTAAACAACTTTCCTCAGCCAGTCCTTCCACATTGACTTTTCTGCCTTGGAGCCAGTTGAACCTTGAATCCATGAGCCAAAACAAGTCCCTGGCCCTTCACATTGTGGGGGTCAGGTATTTTGTCCCAACAGTAAAAAGTTTATCCATACAGTATGCATTTTTCCTTCATTTCTAAAAGACAATTTCACGAAAAA